CTTACTTGTAGATGATTTCTGATTGTTCCAACTGCATCTGTCATAGTTTTTTTTGTTGTCAGGAAGAAGAAATAGATTCAAAATGACAAGAGAAAAGAAAAAATGTGGCACTCTCCACTTCAAAGAGAAAAAATGAGGGCTGCTGCAAAAAACGCGCAGCAAACGTGTTAGAGCTGATAAACTATGGCATACAAGCCATTGAGAAGGCTAGGGCAACCGGGGTTTCGGTAGTGTAAGCAAGTGCGGGTTCGAGTCCCGTCCGAGTCTGAATCTTGTCCATGACTCGCCAATCTTGTGAGACTTTTGGAACGCGTCTGCGGCAAAATAACAGCAGCTAATGAAGCATCAAGTCAAACGAGTAAGCATTCGCTAGGAGCTTCTACTCGATTACTAGATGATCTTCATTTAAACTTCCTGATTTTTCTATATAGTGGAACTAGGGCAGAGATTAAGCGTCATGTAGCGCTATTTCTGCAGATGAATATGTATTTGAAAGCGTAACCCACATGATAACCTCACACGGTCCGCGGATCAAGTCTCGGAAGCATATTTCTACATAGGCCAATACTACCAGACTTCCACCCTTTCGTGCTTTCATAAGTTTGAATGGGCTTGAGAACGGTAACTATTGTGTCGGCTGGGCTTGTGAGGTTATCATTTGAGTCTAACACACTTTCAAATACGTCAACAGTAATGACCATAGTTGAATTTTGGGCTGATTGAAGGCCAGGATTGATCTAACTAAGTCGAGCTTAGTCGTCGACCAATGACGGGGATATCTGCTTGTCGCAAGTGCTGAATGATCCTCGGATTAACGCACCGAAGTGACTTTAGGGAGGTAAAACTCCAGCATTACCACGTTCCCATTTTGAACAGTATGTCTTTCCTCCGTTCGTACATCAGAGCCACCCCGGACGCGAGGGTGCAATCAACGCGGCTCTGGCCTTGACTTAGGAAAATAGACGCCCGCCAATTATCGATTCTTCAATGTCATCTACGATGTTTATCTGCAACTTTCGTAAACATGTTTGAAATAACAAAACAGTCTTCAAAACAACATCTTATAATTATTCATTTCCAATGATTTTTGATTGGGACAGATTACAAGCGAACGATTACAACTTCGTTTGTGCAAATTAGCAACGGAGCAGCTTATTTCACTGTATTACAGTAATCGTCATGATGGCCCCGGGCCCGTACTGAACAGTTGTGGGATTACATCCCATGTGGGTTAATCCTTGAGTCGTAAACTTAGTATCAGGCTCAATAAGAAGAACAAGCGAGGTCAGCTGATTTACTAAGCTGTCGTATAAACCATGAAGAGAATCCAAAGCCAGCGATTTCTTACAGAAATCGACTTCATGGCGCATCCCCGAGGAAATTGCCAAGAATTGGCATTATCACGTGTGTTTTCTCCTAATTCTGCTGGCTACCGGAGAATAGACAGGTTTTTTGGTTGTCCTATGGAGGATGTAAGGAATCCGGGTGATTACTAATACTGTAAACAATGGCTGTTTACAGTTTTCGAAAGTTTTGTGGATGAAGAGGGCAAGCCGACTTAGTAGGGATTTTCAACAGAGAGACTGAGCACGAAAGAGGCGATTCACTCTGTTTACGTTTGCTTCCAGTTAGAGTGAAAGCGAACAAAAGACCGTTGTCGACAGCAGCAAACCAGCACATTAGCGAAGGGAGAAAGTTGTGAATGGAACTTCTAGAGAACCCTCTAGACCACTAAAACAGAACTGCCCATAAATTTCCCAATTTTGAGACTAGAAAAACGGCGGGTTCCAGAGGAGAACGGCAAAAATGAACTCAATTTCTGGAGAGGACTATAACGACAATGACGGAAATGGGATCGTTAGCCCATCGCTAATGGCCCGTAAACATGTCGATGAGAACATTTTTCAAACGCAGTATGGCAAAGCAGGTTTGACTACGGCAACGGCACGTTTTCATTTCGAACGGAGTGTATTTCACATAGGCTTTCTAGAGGGCGTCATACCGGACTTCCCCCTTAACGATCTGTGGGCGGGGTAGCTTACTCATGGCGTCGGCCCAGTCCGGCCGGAAACTGCCGATTAGTGTAGGTGCAATTAACTGTATTACTAGCTAATCATCAATGAAATTAAAGATGGGAAGCTCAGATAGAAAGGAAAATCCTCAGACAGGGTGAGAATTAGGTCTGGAACCATTAAAGGGTGAAGTGAAGTCGCAAGGAACCACCTGGTTTCGATCGTTCATAGGTGCTCCCTCACCAGGTATTCTAGGTTAGTTCTTCTCCATATCGACTCCTGCATAGGGTCAGACTTCACTCACTGTGGACATGCACTCCTTCTAAGAGTTAAGCAAAAATTGTTATCACCTGACTCACCATCGAAACGCTCTTTATATCATCTGAAACTAATATAGTCGGCGTCCCTGACAAGCGGCTACCGCTGGGGACGTAGAACAACTTCATTTCCATATATTGAAAGGGTTATGATCTTCTAAACTTCGAGCCTAGTGGAATGCTACTGTTGAAGAGGCAATTTCGGTGGGTTTGGAGCAGCGCTATCTCTCTTGTCCACATCCTAATGCTAACAATAAGAGCAGAGAAGGGCGGACACCAGCCCTGAGGTACTACAGCTGTGTTTAAAACGCTTCTGAGCCAGCATTGGGTTTTTTCTTCTCAAACTAGGGCCCGAAGAAACTTGAAGATGAGAAGATGCCTTACTCCTCCCTAAGGATAGAACCTGGGAGACGAGGTGACCAGTAGGATACTCGCTGTGGGTTCGCAGGTAAGAGAAAGGTAAGGAAAGGCGAAAAGACAGCCTCACATCTCTTCTCTCACCTCTACACCCACAACCTCCCACTCCCCCTCCTCCCACCTCCTCACTCCCATTTCTTAGAGTACGGGACTAATAAGTCCTGGATTTAGTTTTTGATCAATGTTAATTCAGTCATTCAAAGGTAATTTTGGATCTGACACTGAGAAAGGGNACAGGTAAGAAAGGGGCCAAGAGAGGC